TTTTATATAACTTTTAAAAGAATGTCTTGGTAATATTCAGACGTCTCTAGGACGTCTGAATAAGACGTCCTTAAGTCATTCATATGACACCAGTCAGAGACATCTCTAAAACATCTGCAAAAAATGTCTTTAGAACGTTATATATATATATATATATATATATATATATATATATATATATATATATATATATATATATATATATATATATATATATATATATATATATATATATATATATATATGTATGTATACATATATATATATATATATATATATATATATATATATATATATATATATATATATATATATATATATATATGCTAAGATTTGTAATATCTATATATAATATATGTATATATATCTATATTATAATATATGTATATATATATATATATATATATATATATATATATATATATATATATATATATATATATATATGCTAAGATTTGTAATGTCTTTGCTGTAGAAATAGGTAAATGAATAAATAAATTGTATATATTTTGTTGTTCCTGTGTTGTTTCGTTCAATTTTATGATCTTTCCATCTCTGGTTGTATAAATAATTATTAAGATTATTTCTTATGTTGACACCAAGTTACTGTGTGGTTTAATTTAATTTGATGTATTATTATTTATATATACATGATTTATACATTAATGTTTATATGATGCATACATATTCATTATATATATATATATATATATATATATATATATATATATATATATATATATATATATATATATATATATATATATATATATATATATATATATATATGTATATATATATATATATCAATATATATATATATATATCAATATATATATATATATATCAATATATATATATATATATATATATATATATATATATATATATATATATATATATATATATATATATATATATATATATATATATATACATATATATTCTTATAAGGTTAAGCATTATTCAGTTTAAATCTACCTCTTCTCAACCATATATAGGAATTACTATTTACTACTTTATATACTATTTATATGGCTTTACTTATATATTTTATTTTTCAAAGTTTCAGAAAAAATTTATATTCTAACTTGCTGAAATGAAAAAAAATTTTAGTAGATAGAACTGCACTGTTCTCTAATAATCCAGAAGAAGGTTTTAAACAACGTAAAAGTTCAGATAAACTTAATGTTTTGAAAAAAAAAATTTGCAAATAGAGATATCCAATACATCACTTTTGTATACATGAGTTTCATCTTTAAAGTTTGTATGATATATATTATTACAATATTTATTTTAAATTGTCATAAACATTTTCAATGTTTCTTATACATTGTTTCTTTTTAGATAAAACAGTTATCATTAATTGGCGATAAAAATCTAGCTGATACAATTAAAAATATTTTGCTCTTGTAAGTAATTAGCAAAAGTTTGAGTTTTAACATTTATGATTGACAGTAGAGCATTTATCTTCTTTTTTATATATGTAGACTGCCAACAGACACTATTTTGTCAGAATACAGCATGAATTGTCTAAAGAAGAAAAAAAAGTTTAAAGAGTTGACAAGTCTATGTAACGCTGTCACTGGTATTCTTATTAGCTTATTAATGTGTTTGATTAATTAAAAATTAAAAATGATGTTTTAAAAAAAAAAAAAAAAAAGTTTTTTTGGCTCTGGAACATGACATGTATTCAAGTATGACATATATATTTTATTTTATGATTTTATTGAAACATGTTTTGTTGTTTTTATTAGAAGCTGCTTTAAAGTCAAATAAAAACTTAACCAAAATGGATGCTATCCAACTTATTGGGAGAGTAGTTAGGCATTCTTCTGACCGAATAAAGAAAACATCGACTAATATGGATTTCGATCAATGTTGGCTTAATTAACTGTTGTATTTTTTTTCCATTTTTAAGCAATTTTCTTCTATTTATAATGCACTATCGATTATATTCTACAGTACCTATTTGTTTTTAATTTGAAAAATGTAACTTTTTTGTTTGAAAAATTATTCTTAATTTTTATAAAGTTATTAATTTATTTTAAATATATATAATTACACTTTATTTACATTGATTTCCTTTTATAACTTCCCTTGCCTAGATTAAGGCAAATCTAAGGTGTGTGTTGTAAATCATTGCATTTTTATATAACTTTTAAAAGAATGTCTTGGTAAAATTCAAACGTCTCTAGGACGTCTGAAAAAGACGTCCTTAAGTCATTCATATGAGACCAGCCAGAGACGTCTCTAGAACGTCTTTAAAAAACGTCTTTAGGACGTCCGGAATGGACGTCCTCAAGTCTTTCATTTGAGACCAACTAAGGATGTCTTACGGACGAGACTTAAGACGTCTAACGGACGTCCTTAGGACGTCAAAATGCCCGCTGGGTAAAACGTCTCAGGTTTCGTCCGTTTGACGTCCTTAGTTGGTCTTAAATGAAAGACCTGAGGACGTCTATTACAGACGTCCTAAAGACGTCTTTACAAGATGTCCTAGGGACGTTTATTGTAGACGTCCTAGAGACGTCTTTTCAGCCTTCCTATGGACGTCTCTGGCAGGTCTCATGTGAAAGACTCAAGGACGTCTTATTTAGACGTCCTAGAGACGTAAATTTACCTAGACATTCTTTTGAAAGTTATATAAAAATGCAATGATATACAATACACACCTTAGATGGCAAGTGAATGTTTAAAGAGAAATCAAAGTTCATAAAGTGTAATTTCAAATATTTAAAATAAATTATTAATTTTACAAAAACTTGGAAAAATTATTCAAAGAAAGTTACACTTTCCAAATTAAAAACTAATAAATTTTGTAAAGTATAATCGATAATATATTATAAGTAAACAGAAAATTACTGTAAAATGCGAAATAAATAAAAAACACAACAGTTGATTGAAGTTAATTAAGCCATCGTTGATCGATATCAATAATGGTGGATTTTCTCTTGAATCAGTCAGAAGAATGCCTAATTAATCTTCCAATAAGTTGCATGAAATCCATTTTGGTTAAACTTTTATTTGACTTTGAGGCAGCATCTAATAAAAACAAAAAGACATAGTTCAATAAGATCATAAAATAAAATACATGTCATGTTCCATAGGCAAAAAAATTGAGAAATTTTTTTTTTTTTATTAAAAGAATGTTTTTAATTTTAAAAGTAAATTAAACACAATAATAAGCTAATAAGAATACCAGTGATAACGATATATACTTGTCAACTTTTTCAACTTTTTTTTCTTCTTTAGACCATTCATGCTGCATTCTGAAAATAGTGTCTGTTGTCAGTCTTCATATAAAAAAGATGATAAATGTCATGCTGTCAACTATAAATGTTAAAATTCAAACTTATGCTAATTACTTACAGGAGCAAAATATTTTTAATTGTATTAACTGAATTTTTGCCTTCAATTAATGATAACTGTTTTACCTAAAAAGACACAATGTGAAAGAAGCATTGAAAATAATCATGACAATTCAAAAGAAATATTGTAATAATATAAAATATAAACTATAAAGATGAAATTCATGCATACAAAAGTAATGTATTGGATATCTCCATTTGCAATTTTTCTTTTCAAAACATTAAGTTCATCTGAACTTTTAAGTTGTTTATAACCTTCTGGATCATTAGAGAACTGTGCAGTTTTATTTCCTAAAAAGTTTTTAATTTCAGCAAGTTGGAACATAACTCTTCTCTGAAACTCTGAAAAGTAAAATAAACAAGTGAAGCCATATAAATAGTATATAAAGTAGTAAATAGTACTTTCTATAAATGGTTGGAAAAGGTAAATTTAAACTGAATAATGCAAAAAATCTCAAGTTTCGTGTTTAACTTAAAAAAAGATATAAACAAGTAAAGTTCAAGAAAATTATAATGTTTTTGTCTAACGCCAATAACTGTAAAGAATCGCTACCTATACACAAACATATATATATATATGTATATATATATATATATATATATATATATATATATATATATATATATATATATATATATATATATATATATATATATATATATATATATATATATATATATATTGTTCTATTATTATGTTGATGAATTGTACGTGTTAGAAATCACGTAGATGCGTCACGCATCTACGTAAGTTATTTCAACTGTAATTAACAGTATATTGTCATGGGACTTTTTAATTTAATATATATAGAGAAAAGATTTTTGTATATAGGTGAGAAAGAATATATAAAGCTATAGATTATAAACGTTATTAAATTAAATGGACGCGACGATAAAACAAGCTATTTTGGCCATTATGCCACCGGTATTCGATGGCAACCATCAGCGGTTCGTCCGCCAACTTCGAACATACATAACCGCGATGGACGTACCCGAATCCAAAAGAAAAACAATAATATTAACATGTTTGCTACCACAGATTTATTCCGCACTAGAAGATCTATGCTTTCCTGCATACCCTGAAGATGACTCAGTTACCTACGAAGACATCGACGAAAACATCATGAAGCTTTTTAAACCGAAGTCATCGTTAATACTACGTTTTGAGTTTGCAACTATAAAAAAAGCAAGTAACGAAAATGAGACGGAATTTTCACGACGAAATACAAGAGCTGCTGAAGGATGCAAATTCACGGATAGAGATGATTGAATGCGCGACCAATTCATCACGGGTTTTAACGATGGTGTTACAATCAAACGGTTACTACTGGAATCTGAAGAACTAACTTTTGAAAAGGCTGTGGAAATAGCTGTTACCCTTGAACGAGTAACCCAGGAAGCTCGACAATTAGATGGTACCGATAATGTAATGATTGGCGCAACATCGTTACTTTCACGGACGTCTGGTGCGTCCGACATAAACAAAGTTAAATGTTTCAATTGTGGAAAACTTGGACATTTTGCAAGGGACTGCGAAGAAAAATGCAAGAGTTGTTCAAACGATCATCAAGCTAAAAACTGCTTTAAACGATTGCAAGGTTTAAAAAGAAAAGGGAGAATCTAGAAATAATGGTATCCAGTATTCTCCCAGAAATGACGTTGCCATCATTAAAAGAGAAAATAAATGGAAGGCTCCGAACAGCATTAATTGATTCTGGATGCTCCATTACTGTGGTTCATGCTGAGTCCGCGCATGGGCTTGTGTTAAAAAGTCAAAAACTTATCACAACTTTGGGAGGAACTGTGCAAGTGCTGGGTGAAATGGTAATCAATCTGGAAATTGATGGAATACACCGGATGGTTAATTCTCTGGTTGTAAAAGAAAAACCATTTGGGTTTGATTTGATTTTTGGAATGAATGCAATTAAAAAATTTGGAGGAGTTATCATTTATGGTAATAAAAACTGTAACGTCCGAATGTTAGCATGTGACAAAGCGAAATGTGGTGCCGTTACTACGACGAGAAAAAACGAAATAAACGAATTAAAAGTTGATGTTATTAATACGACAAGAAAAAGCGAAAACGAAGTACAAAAAAGAAAATGTGATGTCAAAAATACAACAAGAAATGAAAAGAACGAAAGAAACGAAATAAAACATCAGGACTTCACAGCAAAGTTCGACGGAAAAAAATGGACGGCATCATGGAACTGGAATAAAGAGCCTGTAACTGATAATACCATTTGTGAATACAAGATGAACCAAGAGCACGAACGTAGTTACCGTAAAGAAATACGTGAATGGATTGACTCTGGTATTCTTGTACCATATAACGAACTAATATTGGGACCACCAAAAGTATTGATACCGCTTATGTGCGTAGTGCAAGAAAACAAGGACAATAAAGTACGTCCAGTGGGAGATTTCCGAGCTCTCAACGAATTTGTAAATTGTCAAACGGCAAATGCGGACGTTTGTCAAGAAAAACTGCGTTGCTGGAGAAAAATAAAAAATGCAAAAATTCTCGATCTTAAAAAAGTCTACCTCCAAATTCATATTGATAAAAAACTTTGGCCATATCAAACGGTGATTATAAATGGGCAACGGTATTGTTTTACCAGGATGTCTTTTGGCATCAATGTGGCTCCAACAATAATGACCACAATTCTTCGGCATATGCTCAATTTAAATCCAACCGTAAAAAAAGCATGTGATAACTACATTGATGATGTAGTTATCACATGCAAGTGTGGAAACTGCAAAAAATGTAGCGAAGCATCTGCTTAAATTCGGATTACAATGTAAACCACCACAAGATCTTGAACAAGGACGTGTCTTAGGATTCAGAGTCGAAAGAAATAAAAATGGGGAACTGATATGGAAACGAGACAATGTGGTACAATTCGAATCTTTAAATGCAGTCACACGATCACAGCTTTTCAGCCAGTTAGGCAAACTTATTGGACATTACCCAGTGGCAGGAAGTTTGCGTTTACAAGCTTCATACATCAAACGTTTAGCTGGAAATATACCTTGGTGTGATTTTATTTCTGAAGATTGTAAAGAAAAACTGAAAGAGTTGCTTTACCGTGTGGAAAAAGAGGATCCGGTTGGTGGAAAATGGCTGGTACCAGTAAATGGAAAAGCTGAGCTTTATTGTGATGCATCATCTATAGAACTTGGGGCAGTTCTGCTCATTGGTGGAGTAGTTGTTGAAGACGCAGCATTGCTACGGCCAGCGAGTGACACACATCATATCAATATAAGTGAGCTGGATTCTATACTTCGAGGACTAAACTTAGCAAGTAAGTGGGGCATAAAAGAGTTAACAGTATACAGTGAAAGCAAGAGCACCGTAGGATGGTTAAACGCAGTTTTGAAAGAAGAATATTGCGTAAAAACTTGGGGAATTTCTCAATTGTTAGTACAAAGACGACTGAATACTATTAAGGAAGTGGCAAAAGATATTCAGATCGCAGTACAAATGATTCCATCTGAGATAAATTTGGCTGATCGACTCTCACAAATCCCTCAAAAATGGTGCAGAACAGTGTGTGCAGCTGGATTACTTGAACAAAAAGACATATGGAAAATTCATTCAATTGGTCATTTTAGTGTTGCTCGAACATTACAACTTTGCTTGCGAAATAATCAGAATGTATCACGTAAGGAGATTTCAGCAGTAATTGCGAATTGTAACCAGTGTAACTCCATTGATCCTTACTCCGTAAAGTGGAAGAATGGAATCAGAGGAATTTATATGTTTTTTACAACTAAACTCCTTTTTCTTGCGCCTTTGATGGCATAGCCCCTATGATGGCATACGGGTCGTATTTCTATAAAAATTGGTTTTGGTGAAAAAGTGATTAGATCTAAATGACTATACTGACTTTACATTAGTTTTGGTGAAAATACGTTGCTTGTACACAAATATTTTTTTTATAATCAGCAAAAATTGATTTCGGGATGTGCTTCAGAAGTTTTATTCCCTTCATATATACAAGATTGTGATTTTTTTATTGACTGTACAGAAAGAGAACTTTTATGCAATTTATATCCAAGTTTTGTGCATTTAGTTGAAAACCTACTTTAATTTTATTTTTTAAATAAGGCAGAGAGAGCTTTTTTTAATGAAAATGATGACTTCTTCTTATGATGGTATACTAATGAGTTGGGTGTCTTGCAATATTAGCGAGTTTGGAAAACTTTTTTTTTTATTAGAAAAACTTATTTTTAAGTAAAGTAATAGGGAAGCGAATTTCCAAAATTTTTTTTTTTTGGTCTTAAAAAAGATATAAAATGCAATTTATCCAATGCGCATGCGCAAAACTATACAGTGCTGCTGTGTAGCATGAAATAAAATTAGGATTGGTTCCGAGTATTTTCTGGCTTATCTAAGGAAAGACTCTAAAGTTATATGAAATCATCAAGTTACCCTTGATTCTAACCAGCCTATTCTTCCCGATGCCATCAAAGGAGCAGCGGTTGCCTATGATGGTATAATTGTGCTTTTTTATAAAATAGGAACAACTTATAAAAAAAAAAAAAAAACGATGAAAAATCCGAGGGTTACTATTCTTCTACTTGTAACAAGGAATGTATCCATTTCAAAACTTTAATAATTGGTTTTCAGGATACAGAATAATGAAGCTACAAAGTTAAGTATGCCATTATAGGCGCTTTTCCCCTAATAGCTTATCTAAAAGCAAAAACTAAGACGATTGCGTCAAAAAAACAGGTTTCCACTGGATTCTTATAGAATCTTTTGACATATTTTAAGAGATTCTGTAAACTTTTTAAAAAATAAGCTAAAATAAACCTGAGTGAATCAAAATAAACTTCTTTTTTTTACGACAAAATTTCTTTTTCTATATAATAACTTATTTAGAATCGAAAAAATAGGACAATTGCGTCAAAAATTCAGGTTTCCACTGTTTTCTTGTAAAATGGTTTGATATATTTTGAGATATTTTGCAAAATTGTTAAAGAATATAGTAAAATAAACCTGTGTGAATCAAACCTATGTTTTTTACGACAAAACCTCCTTTTCTATATAATAACTAATCTAAAATCAAAAAATAAGACAATTGTGTCAAATAAACAGGTTGCCACTGGTTTCTTTTGAATTCTTTTGATATATTTTTAGAGATTTTGTTAGTTTGGTAAAGAATATGGTAAAATAAACCTGAGTGAATCAAAGGAACCTTTGTTTTTTACGACAAACCCCTTTTTTTTTATAATAACTTATCTAAATCAAAAAATATGAAAATTGTGCCAAAAAAACAGGTTTTCACTGATTTCTTTGAAAATCAGTATAAACATGTTTTTTACGACAAAACTTTTTTTTTAATATAATAACTTATCTAAAATTAAAAAATTAGGATAAAGCGTCAAAATATCAGATTTTTACTGGTTTTTTCTAGAATCTTTTGATATATTTTCAGAGATTCTGTAAGTTTGTTAAAAAATATGGTAAAATAAACCCGATTGAATCAAAGGAATTTATGTTTTGTACGACAAAATCACTTTTTCTATATAAAAACTTACCTAAATTCAAAAAAAATTTCGTCAAAAGCTCAGATTTTCACTGATTTCTTATAAAATATTTTGATATATATTTAAAGATTTTGCAAGATTGTTAGATAATATATTAAAATAAACCTAAATGAATCAAAGGAACCTATGTTTTTTTTACGACAAACTCCTTTTTCTATATAATAACTTATTTAAACTCGAAAAATAAGACAATTGCGTCATATAAGAGGTTACCACTGATTTATTTTGGAATCTATTGATATATTTTTAGAGATTTTGTTGGTTTGGTAAAAAATATAGTAAAATAAACCTGAGTGAATTAAAGAAATTAATGTTTTTTACGAAAAACCCCATTTTTTAAGAAACAACCTATCAAAATTCAAAAAAATAAGACAATTGCATCAAAAAAAATAGGCTTTCATTGACTTCTTTTGGCATCTTTTGACTTCTTTTGGCATCATCAAGTCCAAACATTCTTCACCGAAAAACTTGGACTAAAAGATGTTGAAATTGAAAGAGCTCACCGCACTGAACTAAAAAACGATGGACGACCAAGGACTATAATATTAAATCTTCAGAAATATAAAGACAAAATGAGAATACTGAAGGAATTGTATCGACAAGGCACGAATACGTTCGTGAACGAAGATTTTTCTCGAGAAACCGTCGCTATTCGAAAAAAATTGTTCGCTGAAGTGAAAGAAAGGCGATTAAATGATGAAAGTGTTACGGTAAGGTATGACAAAATTGTTTATATTAAAACTTCTTTTAAAAGCAATTTTAACGAATAATTTTATGGGCATTTCTAATAAGCAGTGCCGGCCTTAGGAAGGGGGGGGGGCGAGGTTGGGCGCCGTCCAAGGGCGCCAGGAAACTGGGGCGCTAAACGTTGTATGCAAACTTTTACAATATAATAAATAAAAAAAATAAGTCAAGGGATCGTCCATAAATTACGAAACGCAAAGTTTCACAAAAAACAAAACAAAAAAAGATCAAAAGTTTTCCCTCGCACAGTCTTAATTTAAATAAACAATGAAAATAGGAAATTAAGTCAAATGAAAATCGCCGCGTAAAAGAGCCTAATATCTCCTACTCCTGTTCTTAAAATATATTTTGCGTTGCGTAGTTTATGGACGCTCCCCAACCTAAATTTTTTCGATTTCGATTTTCGATTTTTTGTTATTTTTTCGAATGTTTGTTTTTTTTACAAAAATAATTTCTTTAAATAATTTATTTATTGTATTATTACACTGTTAAAAATTGTTTATGCAAAATTAATAATTTGAGTGTTTCAATCATAGCATACATTTTGTCACTTAAAATCATTTTTTTAATTGTATCCTTCTCGGCGCCAATTATTTTGCGTTCCATTTATTTAAAGTTTAAATTTTAAACATTATTTTCGATACGAGTTCCGAGCGCGTCGTTTATTAATTTGTAGAAAAAATTTAAAGTTGTATTTGTGATTCAAATTCATTTTTTGTCAAGTTTTTAAATTTTGCGGTAATAAAAAGCAGGTAAGTATAAATAATGAAATTGTTTATGAATTATTAGCTTGCGAGTAATTTTTTATTTTGAAATTTTAGACAAATAGAAACTGTCAGCAGCAATGAATAGAGAGTACTCATAATAAAGAAATAAGAGAGTACTCATAATAAAGTTTTTAAAACTCATAATAATAAGAAACCATTTGGTGCTCAATACAGAAAACGTAAAGCAGAAAAAGTTGATAATTTGAAGAAAAATTATAAAAAACTTGAAAATTTTTTTACATCGGAAAATAGTGATTGTAATAAAATAAAGGAAGGAGAAAATGTTGCGCATGTACTTAGTGATACATCAACCAGCGATGAAGAAGACGGAATAGTGTCAATTGGAAATGTTCACTAAGATGAAAAAGATATCAATAACGAAAATGATGATGGCCAAGATGGTGATGTAAATGATCGCACCAAAGAAACAGCAATCGATTACTCAGACTGTGGTATGTGGCCAATTCATCGCAACATTCAATTTGTTGATTATGTAATTAATATAGGTGCAGTACAAGTGAATTTAAACACATATCCACGCGATAATAGAAAACGACATTTTTCAAATGCTTATTACAACCGAAAACTTTCAAATGGTTAGGTTATTTCACGACGTTGGCTTGTGTACTAAGTTTATAAAGATGCGGTATTTTGTTTTTGCTGCAAACTTTTTGATTTCAACATGAATTTAAAGTTAAACGGAAATGGATTCAATAAATGGAAGAATTTAACAGAAGCATTAAAAATTCACGAAAATAGTAAGTCACACAGAATTGCTTATCAACTATGGATTGAGACAGAAATACGAATGAAAGCTGGTGAAACTATTGATAAACAAGAACAAAAACTAATCGAAAAGGACAGTTTAAGGTGGCGAAGTGTTCTTGAAAGATTGATGAACATTACTTTATACTTGGCAACAAATAATATGGCCTTCAGAGGTTCTTCTGATAAACTGTATGCAGTTAATAATGGCAAATTTTTAGGATTGGTACAACTAATTGCTAAATTTGATCCTATCATGTTAAACCACGTCACGCTAGCTCTTAAAGGAGATATTTCTGATCATTACTGTGGAAAAACCATTTAAAATGAAATGATAGATATAATGGCATCAAAAGTAACCAACATAATTATATCCAAAGCTCTAAAAAGTACATATTATTCTATTATTGCTGACTGCACTCCTGACGTATCTCACAAAGAACAACTCTCGCTTACGATTAGAATTGTAAATATATCAGAATATCCTATAAAAATAAATGAACACTTTCTAGGGTTTTTCAATGTTAACGACACGACAGGTCTTGGTTTAACAGAAATCATAATTGGAGCTTTAAATGATTTTGGACTGAATATAAGCTTTTGTCAAGGGCAAGGTTACGATAACGGTGCAAATATTAAAAGGTAAAAAAATTGGTCTACAAAAGCAAATACTAGATTTGAATCCTTTGGCTTTTGACCTTCCTTTGTGGAAGTCATTCTCTCAAATTGGTTATTTGTGACGCAGCGCAGTCTTCACTAAATTCCATTAACGTTTTTGGCATAATACAAAGATTATTCACATTATTCTCTGCATCAACTTCACGCTGGAATGTTTTACCTAGTCATACAACAAACTTTACTCTTAAACGATTATGCGAGACTCGTTGGGAAGCCAAAATTGAGAGCCTCAAAGCCATCCGATACCAAATAAGCAACGTACATGATGCTTTAATTACTATATATGAAACTGAAACCAAAACTCCCGATATTGCACACGAAGCGCAAACATTAGCAAAACACTTAAAAGACTACAGTTTTTTAGTTTCTTTAATTGCATGGTACAATGTACTATTCCAAATAAATGTTGTTAGTAAAGCAATGCAAGCCAAAGACATGGATCTAGTACAGTGCGCTGAAATGTTGAAAAAATGCATCACATTTTTGGAAAATTACAGAACGTTTGGCTTTAAACAAGCAACGGTTGATGCCAAAGAGTTAGCTGAAGAGTTGAACATCGATGCAATATTTAAGCCGCTTAAAAGAGTGCGACGAGTGAAATGTCATTATGATGAAAATGCTTTTGACGAACCAATTCAAAATCCCGAGAAGAAACTTGAAGTGACATTTTTTAACCCTTTATTAGATACATGTCTGTCGTTAATAAATGAAAGATTTGAACAACTTAACGAATATGTAAATATATGGAGTTTTTTATTTAATTTGGATAATTTGCCCATCAAGAATGAACATTTAAAATTGTGTAAACAATTACAAGAAAAATTAACTGTAAATACAAAATCAGAAATCGATGGTGCTTTGCTATGCGACGAGCTAATAAGTATGCAGTTTTTTATAAAAAATAAATTAAGCAATGTTGAAAATGAAATAAATACAAAAGAGATGACACCACTTTTTGTACTGAATCTTATTAAAAAACATTGTCTACAAGAGTTATATTCAAATACATGGATTGTTCTGCGCATTCTTCTTACAATACCTGTTACTGTTGCTAGTGGAGAACGTAGTTTTTCTAAACTGAAGTTAATCAAAACATATTTAAGAAATACCATGTTGCAAGATCGACTTAATTCTCTATCTATGTTATCAATCGAGCAAGATATAGCTGAAAATTTAGATTTTTCTAGTTTGATAAGAGATTTCGCGGACAAAAAAGCTAGAAAAGTTAGATTTTTAAATTTAATAATTCTTGCTTATATAGTTAGAGGATTTATTATATGTTTAATAAAAACATTTGTTATTTTTAAAGCAGCGTTGCGTTGTCTATTTATTTAGTCACTCATTTCTATAAACCCATATCATGAAAATTCTAAGTTTACAATTTTAATAAAAAATTAATTAAATAAGAAACTTGATGCACAATATGGATCTCTTTGCATTAAACTAAATATTCCCTTTAGCACTCTTGTTCATCATTTTAGAGCATTGGTCTCGTTGTTAATGGTAACAACCTACCCATATATACCTAGGGGCGCGTTCACCCAGTTTTGCCCAACCTGTCAAAAAAGCTAAGGCCGGCGCTGCTAATAAGAAATCTTAAATAAAATATATTAATCATGGCTACAAATGAAAACTTTGAATCTCGTGTTTTTAAAATTCAAAAAACAAATTACTCTACGATAAATGAAAACTTAGACTCTGATAACAATATTTATCACAATAAATTTTCAGATTGTTCATATTACTTTCCTAGCCAACTAGAAGGGTTTCTTTTTAAGAATGAGCATGAAAGAAATAATAATCAAATGTTAATTCTCCACCTCAATATAAGTAGCCTAAATAGCAATTTTGAAAAACTTTTAGACTTATTAGAAGAAACTAAATATGTTTTTAATATAATTTGTTTAACAGAAACTTGGACTTCTTTAGAAGACCAAACAAGTTTCATCTACCTTTTTATTGAATACAATTTCAATGCAAAGGAAAACAAATAAGCGCGGTGGTAGAGTTTTAATTATGTTAGAGTTTAATTATGGTAGAGTTATGTTCACGAAAATTTTGAGCATAGATAATATAATAACTTCAGATATTTTCAACAATTATTTAAAATTAGGTATTTTGCGAACCGATATATCAGATCATTTTCCTATATTCCTAAAATTAGATAATACAAACTCTGAAAAAACTTTAACCGCAGAAAGAGTAATTCGAAAACGCATTTGTAATGAGGCTAACCTTAATTTATTCAAAAATCAACATTCATTACTGCACTGGAATAACATAAATTTTAATGATAATGCTAACAAAAATCGTCCAAAATTAAACAAAAACGATATATAAATTTTTTGAAAACAAAAACACCTAAAAAAGAAAATATTTACAAGGACTACAAAAATCTACTTGAAAAAATTAGCAAAAATTAAAAAAAAAAATTATTATTCCCAATTACTCAAAACATTTAAAAATGACACAAAACGCACATGGCAAATAATGAATGAAATTATTGGAAAACAAAAATCATGCTCAGGTTTTCTGCCACAAATGGTTAGAGTCGATAACAAAAGTTTATACGAACCAAGAACTATAGCTCAAGAATTTAACAAATTTTTTATCGATATAGGTCCAACCCTTTCTAAAAATATCCCAAAGACCAAATCTTTATTTACTGATTTTCTAGTACCTATTTCTGTTCATTCCACATTTTCAAAAATTTTAGAAAGAATTATATATAACAGAGTATACAAATATTTTCATGTTAATAAATTACTTAACATTAATTAATTCGGTTTTAAAAAGGATAGCTCAACTGAACATGCAATTATCCAATTTGTACGTGAAATATCAAAATCATTTGAAAAATCACAATATACTATAGGACTTTTTTTTTGATCTATCAAAAGCTTTTGACACGGTTGATCACCAAATTCTAATCTATAATTTAAATACTATGAAATAAAAAATAAAAATTTAAAATGGTTTGAAAGCTATTTGTCAAATCGTAAACAATTTGTTCCGAGTAATGACGGTTATCATACCAATTGTCTTTCTATAACATGTGGATTCCCACAAGGCTTAATTCTTGGTCCACTCTATTTCCTAATTTATATTAATGATTTAAATAAAGCCTCTAAACTAACAAGTATTATGTTTGCAGATGATACTAACTTATTCCTTTCTAACAGTGATATCTTTGAACTTTTTAAAACAATGAACAAAGAGCTTAGACATGTATCGAGTTGGTTTAAATGTAATAAGTTAACTCTAAACTCTAATAAAACAAAGTGAACCTTATTCCATTCGCTTTTCAAAAAACGGTATTTGCCATTAAACTTACCTAAAATTTTTATTGATCAAAATAAAATAAAAAGAGATTCCGTAACAAAATTTTTAGGTGTTTATCTTGATGAAAACATCACTTGGAATCATCATATCGACTACATAAGCACTAAAATTTCAAAAAACATAGGAGTTTTATATAAAGCAAGAATCTACCTCAATAAAAAAATTTTAATTAAACTTTATTATTCTTTTATACACAGTTATTTAATTTATGCTAATATTGCCTGGGGTATTACAGAAAAAAGTAAGTTGCAACGTCTTTATCGCTGTCAGAAACATGCTATGCGTTTAATCTGCTCTGCAAATCGCTTTTCTCACGCAAAACATTATTTTATTGAAATGAGAATTTTAAATATATACAAGCTAAATATATATAATGTTTTATGCTTTGTATACATGTGGAAAAATGACTTGTCTCAATCTGTCTTCAAAAATATTTTTACTCCGAAATTCATTAACAAATACGATTTGAGAAATACTGATTTTTTAAATGAACCTTTCTGTCAAACGAACTTTAATCAATTTTGTATTGCCTATCGGGTACCACACCTTTGGAATAAACTGTTTTGCCTAATTTTGATTTCGAACTACCCATTACTTTTTGTTTTTTTAAAAGTAAATTAAAAACCCTAATTATTTCCTTAGAAGACGTATCATGTTATTATTAATAATATAAATTAATAACTTTGCCTTTTCTTATTTATATTTGTAAAAAGTTTATTTTTACTTATTTTGTTGATTTTATATTCTTTACTTGACGTATACGTTTATATAAAATATTAGTGTGTAGATCCGCGTGATCTCTCTTTAGATTATATAATATATATTTGGATTATATACATATGAAATTTGTAAAAATTTGATATTGTTAATGCTTGTTTGAACTTGTTTAAGGTTCTGATGACAAGATCCTTTGATCTTCTTTCACATACCTTATTTTATATTTGTAAAAGTTCATTATTGTTATCAATATATGTATATATATATATTTTTTGGAAATATATAGTTGTAATACGACCAACAAATGTAAAATTAAAAAAAAAAAAAAAAAAAATTCCTTGAATATATTTAAAGAGATTTTGTGGGTTTGTTAAAGAATATGGTAAATCAAACCTTAGTGAATCAAAGGAGCCTATATTTTTTACGACAAGACCCCAATTTTTTTATAATAACTTAATTATAATATGAAATAAAACAATTGTATCACAAAAACAGGTTTCCATTATTTTAATTTGGACACTTTTATTTTAATTTCAGAGCTTCTGTGGGTTTTTTAAAAAATATGGTAAATCAAACCTGAGTGAATTAAAGGAACTAATGTTTTTTACGGCAAAACCCCTTTTTCTATATAATAACTTACCTAAAATCAAAAAATAAGACACTTGCGTCAGAAAAACAGGTTTCCACTGATTTCTCTTTACTTTTAAGGAAAAACAGGTTTCCACTGATTTCTCTTTACTCTTTACTTATACTTGTAATATATGTTAAAAGATTTTGTTGGTTCCTTATGGAATATAGTAAAACAAACCTAAGTGAATCAAAGAAATCTATGTTTATTACGAAAAACCCCTTTTTCTATATAATAACTTATCTATATTCATAAAATAAGACAATTGCGTCAAATAAACAGGTTTTCACTGATTTCTTTTGAATTCAGTTAAAACCTGTTTTTTACGACAAAACGCCTTTTTCTATATAATAATTTATCTAAAATCAAAAAAAAACGACAATTGCGTCAAATAAACAGGTTTTTTACGGATTTCTTTTAGAATCTTTTGATAAATTTATAAAAACTCTGTGGGCTTGTTAAAAAATAATCTAAAATCATAAAACAAGACACTTTCGTCAGGAAAACAAGTTTTACATGATTTCTCTTAAAATCTTGTGATATATTTAAAGAGATTCTGTTGGTTTGTTAATGAATATGGTAGAATAAGCCTGAGTAAATCAAAGGAGCCTATGTTTTTTACGTCAAAACCCCTTTTTCTATATAACAACTTATCTAAAAGCAAAAAAGAAGACTATTGTGTCAAAAAAACATATTTCTCTAACTTCTTAGGAATCTTTTGACATGTTTTCAGAGATTCTGTGGGTTTGTTAAAAAATATGGTAAAATAAATATTAGTGAATAAAGGTACTAATATTTTTTACGACAAAACCCCTATTCTATGTAATAACATATCTAAAAACAAAAACTAAAACTATTGCGTAAAAACATGTTTCTACTAATTTCTTTTGGAATATTTCGATATATTTTAAGAAGTTCTGTTGGTTTGTTAA